TTTTATTTTACTTTTGATTGAAGTTGTTAGGGATAAGATAACGATCAACGTTTGTTGCTGAACAAAAAACACTTCTTTCCTGCCATTATAAGAATGTTACTTTTTAACCTGTAAAAAAGTTTTGCATAGACTGTTGTCGGCAAGTATATTTATTAGCGTAGACCAATGTTTTTTTGCTGCTAAATATTGGCATCGTTGTTATATGGTTGTGGTTGAAGCCAAAAAAATTTTTAAGTGTTATACAGTGTTGTCGTTATCAATTCTGTCGCTTTCCGCTTACCATATTTCTTCATCAGAGAAACAATTACTCATATATCTGTGCCACTTTTTTTTTTGAAAATTATATTTATATTATACATTTGCATCAATATTTTTTAAAGCTATTCTGTTAGATAAGTTTTTATAGTCAGTTAAATTTGCTATTAGTATTTTGCAAAAATGTTCTGAGACTATCATATCATAGTCAAGTTAAAAAAAAAGACGAAAAGAAAAACAAAAAAGAAAAAAAAGCACTTAAATTTTCCAGTGCAAATTTAAAAAATTTATTTTTTGTCGCTGTATACTAACAAAAATTTGTTTATAACCATTCAGATATTAGCAGAAATATTAAACAGTTGAAAAAACTTTGAATAAAAATCTTAAAATGTTAGCTGTAGCACTTTTTATGCAACGTTACTTATAGTTTTTACCTTATCTTTTTGTTCTTCACCTCAGCAGAACTGATCGAGGTGTAAATCGGCTTTCTTTTGGCTGTTTGTTTTTTTGTTTCTATAAATTATTTGAAAAGTTAAACACAGATTCATCTTGAAAAGCTTTATTTAAGTTTTGACAATCAGCAACTTTGACTAAAGCTGTCATTTTGAACTGTCCCTTAGAGCAGAACCAAATGAGCTGCAATGACGAAACAAAGATCAAAGTTCAATACGCTGTGCTCAAAACTTAACTTATTCTTTGCTTATGGTCGCTTATGGGTGTTTTTTTTTCAGCTGTATATTTACTGACCCGGTAACTTTGTAGCTTTGTTTGGTAATCAGTAGAAGGCTGTGTTTTTGTAATTTTTCAAATTTCAAGCATTACCAATACTGTACAGTTTTTTGCTGAATATTTTAGCGAATGTAAACAGGTGAAATAAAAATAATAAAAAAAATGATGGCGTTAATGTCTTGTAAAATTGTTTTCAGTCTTGTATTTTTGTTAATTCAAAAGGAACTGTTTAACTGTAAAAATGTAAGCTCTTTTCACAGTTTACAATATGAATGGTCAAATAAACACGGAACTAGGCCAGTACAGTTATCAAATCTTTGATGAACAGCAACAATAAAAGATGGAGTATTGATGTGCAAATTGTTGTTTATGATCGATAACATTTGATTCTATTGTTCATCTGTTCGAATAAGCACTACTTACTACTTTTCTATCAATAATGTCGCTGC